TTAAAGACTGACAAGTTATTTCTCCCCACTTAAATACTCCTGCATGTGGGGGGGCGCAGGGGGGCACAAACTTGGTGGAATAAAACCCTCAAAGAGCAAAAAGAAAAATAATACAGAATCAACAGCATTGATTTCCTACCTGTTTTTTCTTTGATTTCACACAAGACATTAAAAAGCGCTGGCTTCATCCTGTGGCAGTTTAAAGCATGTTTCCTGGAGAGAAAAGAAAAGAGAGGAGGGTGAGGTTAGGATGTCACCACGAGGAACAACTTTCCAAATTCAAGCCGGCTGGTGTGTGCATGCCAGAGGTGGGGGGGACAGGTTTGAGCCCCCTCAGCCCCCGTGCTGCAAACAGCCACCTACCCAACATGGGGGAGATGAATAACACTAATTTAGGAATGGCTTGAAAATCGCCTTTGCCACCGAGCAGCTCCCATGGCCAGCGGGAGCCAGGCGATCTCCACGCCGAAGCCAGAAGCTTTTGGGAGCCAAGCTGGCATCAACTGTCTTATTCAATACAGAGTGAGCACTGCACTCTCTCTGTCCCCCACCTCCGATATTACACCCGGCCATGTGCTTTTATTAGGCTCGTTCTGTGAGGCAGAGGGAAAATAAACCCCCCTTGCCCCAGCGCTGGAAACATCCTCTGCTTAGAGCTGTCAGTTCGGGGGATTTCAGCGCCCAACTTGGAGCACAGAAACGCACACGTATGGAACGAGAAACCCATTCCTCTACCTCCATGCCACTTACATCCAGCTTATTTGCAGGTGTTAAAATTTAATTCTTTACAATTGGGACAGTAAACACATTAAAAAATCACAGCCGGCTGCTGTTGGGAAGGGGAGGGAATGCTATTCAGCGCCGCTCTTTTTGACTGCTCTTATTTCAGAGCTGACCGTTCTCCTGTGGGTTTGGAGGAGAGACTTTTGGGGGGGGGCGAGGGTGGTTTTAATTGGGTGGTTTTAAAACCCACCAAGCACCCGCTGAGGCAAAGAAAAATATCATTTAATTTTTTCTCTCAAGCCACACGACCCTTTAGACAAGGGTTCAGTTGTATAAAGGGCTGTTGCTATCAGGCACCGGTTACGGGATTTCTGTTTACCAACCGAAATTACACGCGAAAGACGATGTGAACATCTGGCAAACATTCACACTACTTACCCCACCACCCACAACATGTTAAAAAGATTTATATATCTGATGAAGTCTCTCAAAGGTGTATACCCTTGCAGAACCACAGTGTTCCCTTATCAGCACACCCAGATGGGCGCAGACATTTGGGTATACGCAAATCACGTACATAAGCTGTCGGGGCCCTCTTACAAATAATACTGGCACTTTGCGTCTTCCCAAAACTTCATTAAAAAAAAAAAAAAAAAAAAAAGGCAGCAGCAAAATAACCCCTGCAATAGTAGGGTGGAAGGAGGAAATGCAAAGCCAAATATTATTGATAAATACAGTATGTTTGTCAGCTCAGATATAAAAATATCTTTTACAAAAAGTACTGAGGAAGCAGCTGAAATAGACCAGCAAGGCAAACCCATAAAGCCTTCTCTTAGCTCAGTTTTAGTGATTTGATTAACTACACTAAATTATCCAGGCAGGAACACACATGATTCCTGCAACTTTCCTAAGAAAGATCCCCTCACTGCCCCGGGTCTGGCCGGGGAGAAAGTGAATGATTTCCTCCTCCTCACAGCTACTCTGCCCCTGCAAGAACATAAGAAAATAAGATCAGCCTCGCAACAAGCCTTTTTAGTAAGCAGGAGCTTTACAGAAGCTGTGGAGGTGAGAAGGACGAAAGTTGTGGTTTGGGGGGTACTTTTACCCTTCTGGAAGTTCTTCATAAGCGAGTTTTGGGGCTGTGAGGAGCGTTTTTCCAGGAACAATGTATTCTAGCAATCTGCTCCAGCTCAGGGCATGAATACCAGGGGGAAGGACACCACACCGAGCAGCTCTGCAGCCCAGAAGAGATTTCAAGCATACCCCAGGCGATTCGGGGCAACTTTTTTGTTTTAATTCCTTCATTTAGGGATTTTTCCCCCCCTCCGTTAACTTTTGGTAGCGCTTTAGAAGGTGTGTATTAGGTTTGCACTCCCTGAAGCTCAGGGCAATTCAGATACCGGCTTTTACAGCCTTATTTTTCCTTTTTAAATACATCTGCAATTAAGAAGGAAAAAAAAAATAAAAAAGGCGAAGCGTCTACGAGCATCTTCCAAGCGCAGAAACACGGCCTTAAAAATAACACCACTACAGGGCCCTAGGAAAGAACATCATTAGCGGCCCTGAAAGCGGGGCAGCACTTCGTGGCTCTTTCGGAGGAGCCCGGAGCGGAGCCTCCCGCACGCCCAGCCTGCCCCAACCACCATCGCCCTCCGCAATTATCCCCCAGCCCAAAAAGGCTGGGAAAAGCCAGGCCCAGTTTGGGATGGAGGAAGAAGAGGGGGGCTGCAGGCGCTGCGACCCCTCGATACCCCAACGAAGTTGGGGGTGGTGGGAGGGAGGAAATAGGAAATAAAAAGGATGGATATTAACCATTCTTTTCGCCTCCCTCCCTCCCCCCGTTTCTCAGCGGCAGGAGCAGCAGGACCCGGTCCCCCGGTGCGCCCCGCGGCCGGGCGCGCTCCCCCCGCCGCACAACAAAGGCCGGGCCGGGGCGCGGGGGAAACTTCCCGGCACCTGCCCCCCCGCGCTCCCCACCGCTCTCACCTGGCCTGCGCCTCGTCCAAACTCTGGTCCGTGATGGTCATGATCTGCTGTAAGATGTCTCCGATGTCCTGCTTCCTGCCTGCCTCCCCCTCCGCCCCGCCTGGTCCATCCTGCATGTGCTGGGACAGGCCCGGGTGCCCCGGCATCCCCACCCCGCTGTGCGTGTGCATCAGCCGCGGCTGGTCATCCATCGCCGGCCGCCGGCCCCGCTCCGCCGCCGCCTCCTGCCCTGGCTGCCGGGAGCGGCGCGGCTGGGCTGGCCGCCTGGCTCCTCGCTTTCTTTTCTTGCTCGCTTTCTTCTTCTTCTTTCCTCCCCCCCCTTCCTCCTCCTCCTCCTCCTCCTCCCCAGCCTCTTCCTCTTCGCTTTTTATTTATCCTTCACGCTGGCGCCCGGCTCCGCGGCGGGGAGGAAGAGGAGGAGGAGAAAAAAATGAAGGAGGGGGGAGAGAAAAAAAAAAAAAAAAAAAAAAGAGGGAGAAAAAAGAAAGGGGAAAAAATCCCTTTGGCTGCTGGAGGAGGAGGAGGAGGAGGAGGGAGGAGGGAGGGAGGGAAGGAGGAGGGAGGGAGAGAGAAGGGGGGGGGGGGTCCGGGGAAGGGAGGGGAAAACGGCGGCGACTCCAAAAGCAGGGCAGCTCAGCCCCGCGCCGGGGAGGCAGCGGGCGGGCCAGGGGCAGGGGCTGCGCCCGGGGAGGAGGAGGAGGCGGCGGCGGCGGCAGCAGCGGTGGCCGCGGCGGGGCGGCCGCCCGCGATGGCAGCGCCGGAGCTGCCGCGGCCGGAGCGCGGCGGAGCCCCCGCGCAACCGGGGGAGGGCTCCAAACTTTCCCCCACCCTGGGGCCGCGCTCGGGGCTGGCTGGGCCCCCCCTGCGCCGGGCCTGCGCGCACCGCTCCGGCCCTCGCCGCCTGCTTTTGTTCGGCTCCGGACTCCTCAAACTGGCACGGAGGAGCCCGGGGGCGGGGGGAGGAAGGGGCAGCGGCGCCGCCCGCCCCCCCGGCCCCATTGGCGGCGGCGGCGGCGGGAGGGACGGCCCGCGGACCGCACCGCCCCCTGCGCGCCCGCCCGTCTATCTCCGGGTTCAGAGGTGGGACGGGGCCGCGCCCCGCCCGCGCCTTAAAGCGACCGAGCCCGAGCGAGCGCGGCGCTGCGGGGGGAAGGGGCGGCCCGGGCCGGGAATGGGGGCCCCCGCCGGCCGCCATGCGCTGCTCAGCCCCTGCTCGGGCCCCGGCCCGCGGTGCCCGCCGGTCAGAGCGGTGCCTCAGCCTGCCCGCCGCCCCTGGGGCTCACCGCGGCCCCCCGGCTGCTCCTAAGGCTCCTCTCAGCCCCCCACCTCCCCTCCTCCAGCCATCCCGCCTCCCCTCAGATTTCTCCTTCTCCTGTCAGCCTTCCCGGCCTCCCCACAGCCTGCCTTCCCCCATTCCATCAGTATTCCCCATCCCCTCGCCCCCCTGATGCCCCCCGGGCAACCTCTGTGCCTCTCCGCCTCCCCGCTGCCCCCCCAGCCATCCAGCTGGTTCTGACTCCCGACGCTGTCCCGACCTCTCCCAGGACGGAGCAGGGTCCCCCCCCTCTGCTGTAGCCACCAGGGAGATCCTTCCCACTCACCTCGGCCACTGATGTCTCCTCATGGTGCTGTTTCTCTCACTAAATCTTGGACCAGACGACCCGCTGTGGTCCCTTCTTACTTGACTGATTCTGCGGTTCTCTCCTTCCTCTTCCCTGACCCATGCAGAGCTTCCCCAAGCACATCACACAAGCCAGCGGTGCCACATCCCACACCTGATGGCCCCTCCCCTGCCCAAACAGTGCAGGAACAGCTGGCAGAGGTCCCAAGGCCACCAAGACCACCATTCCAACCTACGTGTCACAGCACTCTGGAAAGAACAGACTTCCACAGCCCCTTTCTGCCTTCCCTGGAATCTGTCCTGTTGCCACAAAGACCTCAATATGTCAGCAGGCATGGCCGTGGGACTGGGCTGGCCTGCAAATTTGTATACAAAAAAGAATAAATAAAATAGTTATGGTGATAGAAGAGTTTCTTGCGTGGCAAACGGCTTCATCAGATTGTCCCTTTCTCGGAATGCCAGCTCCAGGCCCCTTGTGACACAAGGGAAGATGCACCTAGCCCTGGCTCCTTGCCCTCAGCACCATTTGGGGAAAGACCCATCAGGTTCATTGGAAAGAAAAAATATATAAGGCAATTGTTTTGCTTCCACTCTTCCTTTTTAATGAAACACTTTCCAGTGTTTTAAGCAAAACACGACTTTTAGTTTTGAAATTTCCTTTAGAACCATTAAAATGTTGTAAAGCGGTTGAAGGCGAAGTGAGATATTTTGATTTTTGTCGCTCTGAAATGTTTCACTCAACACATTCTTCGTGTGTCTTGATTTGCCAGAATTTTTCAAGGGTTTCTGCTTTCTCACCCAAGACGTATCTATATATTTCCTACTTTTTTGAAAAGGAGAAAAAAAAAAGGGATAAAAAATATCCTTTATCTCCACGGCTCCACAGGAAATAGAACTGTATCCAAGAAACAAAGAGCCAAGGGACTCCTCTGCAGAGGTCCAAACTTTCAGACACTTAGTCATGCCTTCACTTGCTTGCTCACACACCAAGTCTAGACATTTGCTGTCTCAAACCCTGGCAGGGGTTCTCCCACCCCCAGGGGTCAGCCCAGGGTCTTTTGAGCTTGATTTTGAGCAGCTCCGAGGAGAGGCAGTGCAGCAGAGCTGAATGTGCACAGTGGAAAAGGGAGCACGATGGATGACAGGGACATTGGGGACCATGGGATTTAGTGGCCTGCTGACCCTGCTGACCCTTGTTTAGAAGATCATTCTCCATTTTCCAAGTCACAATGCGGTGCCTCAGCACACAGGAGAGTGCAGGAGCCAGAATGTCCTTTGGGGATCTGGCATGGGTAGGGATATGTGGCACACATGGGCTTGGTGAGCCCCAGGCAGCCCCATGGCATCTCAGAGAGAGCAGGGCAGAGCGACCCGAGCAGCTCCAAGGGAAGCACCCCAGCACAGGGCCTTGGAAGAGCTATATGCCAATGCAGAAATGGCCAGGACTGCCTCTGCTGTCTGCTGTAAAATCCTTCCTGTCAGAGATAACTAATCCTGGGGCCTTTACAACACCTCTCCTGAAAAGCACATTTCATTCCTCTGTCTCTTCCTGCCTTCCAAGTGCATGAGACTGCAATAGGTATTACCGAAAATATTCCCCATGGGAGCCGACACTGGACTCCCTTAAAACCCAAACACCATCACCCCTCCTTCCCCAAGACACAAGTGAGCACTATGCTCTATTATCTCTACACCCACTAAATCTTTCTGAAATAAAGAATAAACATTTCCACCACACATAGTGTAAGTGTATGTGCCAAGCTGCATCGCTTCCTCTCCTCTGTGGTTATTATAAAGTGGTTTTGTTTCAATGGCGAAGCAGATGGACAGCTTCCAAGTCTGGCCTCCCCACTCCCCCCGAGTACATCTAACACTATCTTTGGTTTATCACAGATTCCTGAAGAAAATGCTTATGGGAGCCTCTTGTTTAAAATCTTGGCTCCGTCACAGTATGATTCCTATTATTTATTAAATGAAAATCAAGCCGTTGTTAATGCACCATTACTGTGGCAAAGTGGAGCCCTTGGAAACAAAGGCCAAACACACTCTCATTCTCTGACCGCGAGGGAAGCATCCCACTGTCACCATCCCTCAACGCTCATGCCGCCATGGAATGAGAAGCAGTTTTCTGGCCTTAGACTCCTTAAACACTTCCTTTTGCTAGGACAGCCATGGACTCTCTCCCTTTGCTGCCCCAAACCTGACATCCCAGAGCCAGACATCGTACAGATCGTACCGCACACCACAGGAGGGGCTCTACTTAAGACAATTCTGTGGCCATACCCTTCCCTGTTCGCCATGACCAAATTAATTTTCCTCCCTCTTCTGCAATTTTCCTCTAAAGAAAAATTTTCCATGGAAAACCCAAAGCCCTTCCTATTTCCCAGCCAGCCTCAGCCCCTGTAACACAATGAGCTCCGTACGGATAGCCTCCCCTGAGTTGGAGCGTGGCAGCATTTACATTCCTAACTGATTTTCAGAGGAGGTTCTTAAATTTTCCAGGAAATGTCGTGTTGCTGCTTTGAACTGATTGTTTATTTGTCAATTTAGTCATTAACCTTCTTCCTTACTCCTTTGGCTTTTGATAAGACAGAAAATGTCAAAGGGACGGGAAATAGGCTCAGAATGATTTCTCCTAGCAAAGGATCCCAATCCCCAGAAGCAAAGGGAGTTTTCTCATCAATTCGAGCAGAGATGCAGCTTCACTTCCAATGCCAGGTTAAATCAGCCTTCAGGTTTTTGCAGGGTTTGTGTGTTAGACTTTAGGAAAGCACCTGGGTCTTCTGGAGGGATCTCAACCTGCAGATCTCAAAGCCCTTCCAAAATGAGCTAAATACCCCTGACCCCAGTTAGGGTGGAAAGAGCCAGAATTAGATTCCTACTCACCCCATTCCCAGCCTCATGTTTAATCCCCTGCATCACACTGAGTTTGCCACGGTCATGGTTTATCCTACTGAGAAATATATGTCTTAATTAATATGTTGCTTATTAATATTACCTATTCATGAAATTATTATAAATAACCCAAACATGAGTACAATCCTACAACCACAAAAGAGGGGACCAAGTTCTGTTCACACAAAAATTTGTGGTATGTAAGCTTGTTTGTTATTTATTCGAATGCAAGGAACAAAATTCTTACCATCAGAAGTTTACCAAAAAGAAAAACATCTTTTCCCAATAGCTGACATAAACATGTAAGTGCTACCAAACATATTTACATGTTTGAAATAGATGGTATAATTACAATGAGTTATAGCCAATATTCAGGCTTTCCCTGGTTTAAATGCTACCTTCTGATACAGTACAGCACATCCTTTAATTGTGATCACGTGTTCTTTCTTAGAGACTGTTGGAATTTTTTTTTCCACAAAAGCATCTATAATTGAAAAGAAGATGGCATTGTTTAAAATAAATTGTCTACCCTCCTGGAAATAAACAGGTGACTTCCCTTACAGAATGCCCTATTTCTGGGAGTTCTACATCAGAACAAGACATCTGTAAAATCATTTAGGACGTTTTTCCAGACCCCCAACTTGAATTTCAGCAAGGAAATGCAGTTTTTTGTGGACAGAAAAAAAATTCAACAAGGATTTTGAAAACAAGTCAGGTAAAAGCTATCAGCGGAAATAGCAACAAAAGCAGTTGTAGAGTCCTTCAATAAAAGCAGGTCCATTCCAGACTCAACAAAAAGGTTTTTTTCCCCTCTTTCAACCAGCACTGATGTTCCTCAAAGGATACAAAATAGCTGTTAAATTCACTTTTATCTAGTGAGTCTCACATTCCGTGCAGTACTTTTATAAAGAGAAAGCCACATTAGAGGTACGAACTCATGACTGTATTCCATAGATTCTCCACGAGATCTCACAAGTCAAGCCTCCAAATGGGACCTCTTTGCCGCTAGCAGAATGGGCTGTCTTTCGTAGCAAGTCCATTTTCAGATGATTTACCAAGAAGGTATATCCCTATTCTTTTTGTACACATGGGGATATGGAGAGCCAAGAAAAAGAGGAGCCTTTCCTCCACTAGCAAGAGCTGAGGTTCTCACCCAAAGGTGATCATGTAATGCCTACCTTAATCGACGTGTCTGTGAAAGGAATCCCCGCTGCCTCATGTGAACTAGAGGGATCTAGAACTACTTTCTTTGTAAGAAAATAATTTTCTTAGATGCAGACTTACAGTTTTTGGGATGTTTTTCATCACATCATCTACCTTCAAGTGGTCTTTATGGAGTTCGTCTGCAGTCAGAAATTGGTTTTCGTCTCTTGAGTCTTCCATGGATTTCCAAGACTAGGAAAGACTGCCAAGGAAGAGGCTCAGCTACGGGTTTCTGATTTCACCTTCATAAAAGAGGGGTTTAAGGTTATCCCCAAAGACAATTCTCATCAGCTCTGAATTAAGGGATAGAGCAAATGCTCTCGGCCCCTCCATAGCAGTAAAGTTGGTGGGAAGCATTCCCCCCATGCAAAGGTCTGCCAAGAAGACCCTTGCTGCTCCTCTGAGACAGAACCTGACTCACCCATGCACTTCTCAACTGGCCATCCCCACAAAGCACTGAGCAATGAGGTCACAGTGAGGGACTTAGGTCTTGATAGTGGTAAGCAAGCCAACAGCTTTAATTTGCTGAAATGCTTTTCGATAAAATCCCCCCGCCCCCACTTGGCTTGTTCACAGATTCCTTCAGTCTCTTGCGTAGGGGTTTGACCCATTGTTCCTGCAGGCTTTCCTATTATCAGCTGTCCCATCCTTTCTGCACAACTGCTGAAGTTGGACCTTAGCCTTTCATTTCATTTTCATTTGGCTTCTTCCCCAACTTCCCATATTTGAGCATTTTGCTTATTATCAGTCTGATCCCTTCTGTACTTTGCTCAGCTCCATTCTACTAATTGGTTCAAGTATGGACCCAGCATTCCCTAAAGGGGAGTCACTTCCCCTTGCACAGCATCACTGCCATGCATTCAACACCCTCCCCAGAGTCCCAGAGCAGGAGCAACACTTCCTCTCCAAAAGGTGCTGGTGTCCTTGGACTGAATGGGTCTGAGACAATGATCGATATAATCCCTGATATATGATTGTGTCCCATATTGGTTTTTCACAGCCCAGGAAACACGTCCCCTGGCAGGCCCTGAAGGTTGTAGGACAGACAGGCTTGAAACCAGACATCCATTTTCACTGTTGCTCTTATCAACAGCTTTCCCCTTAATATCCCTGTATTGTACACCACCTTGGGAAGCAACCAGATTCAAATAGCCAGTAGCCTAAAACTATGATGTTCACTTTAATTCCTATGAATTGAAAATATTTGGATTCTAGTAGGGTCAGACGAACCAAAAAAGATGCTTGCACCACCCTTGTCGATGACCTTGTCTTTCCAGAACACAAGTCACCACCACTTCCCTGTGGCTCCCAGGTCATAAAGAGGTGTCAAAACCACTTGCCTCTCACTTCTGAGTACGGAGGCAGTGCTGCAGAGAGAACTGCATAGCCACAAATCACAGCAGCAGCTCTCCTGTCTCCAGACCCAGCCCCAAGTTCACCAAGGACTTTTCTTTCCTTGGTCCACTGGGCAGAAAACCTGCAAAGCTTAATTTCTTACCATGCTTTCCCAGGAGGAAAAAAATCTCACCTCGAATTGCTGTCAAGTCGCATATCGTATCTCGCCCCAAAAAGACTTAGGCAGGTTAAGCCCAGAAGAAAGAGAAACTGTCGAGGGCTGCCTGTTTGATAAGGGCACATGCACATTCCAGCAGCACCTGACTACTATGGGACATGAGGAGCTGGGAGGTGGGCTAAGGGAGCAAGTTCCTAGGCACAGTTCTCCAAAGGGGAAGCCAGAAAGGACAGGTTGCCACTGCCTCTGAACCAGAGCGAAGCCTGCAGAGCAAACACTGTTTGCATCTCACAGTGAGCTCCAAGCCACCTACACTCACATTCCATGCGTGGTCCACTGGCCCCATCAGCTCAGCACTGGCTGCAAAGGGAAAGCCACAGCCCTGAGAAGGGAAAGCCATGTTCACTGGGATTGGGGCTTTGGAAGAAGATCCTGCTGAGACAGAGGTGGAGCTGTTGAATATTGCTCTGGAATGAGCCTTCAGCCTCCCACACTGGCCTATTTACCAGCAGCTTCAACCTTTGCCACCTCTATTTAATGAACCACAAAGTCAAGATGTCCAAGGGATGGGGACAGAAGACATTTGCCAGAGGGCTGGAAAAAAGATGGGGGTGCTGTGGTCCTGCAATGGGGAAGACAAAAGGACATATAACACTCAAAAGCTACCAGCAACTCTAACATGCTGCTTTTCCCCCAGTCTCATGCTGGGGAAGGTCCTCAAATGATGTAAATTAATAAATCTCATTTGAAGAAGTACTGATTTAACTCACAGTAAAAACCTGGCTTTCTAATTTTTACAAGTCCTGAGTGGGACCCCAGATTTCAAGGTCCAGGCTTGAAAGACCTCACTTGGCTCACATTGCCCTGGCCTCAAATAAAAGAGCCGAAACTCCTCCTGTGTTCCAGGCTTTCAGCCCCTTCTCCCAGATAATTGTTCTTTCCCCAGTAGGATAGTCTAGTTCTGGAGCGATACAAGAATTAGACCAGAAAGAAAGACAGTGGCAGAGCCCAAGGAGGAGTGGGGAGGAGAAAAGTCATCCCAGGTCCCTACTGTCCCCATGGAACAGGCAGTGTTTGGCCTCCAGTAGCCAGATGGGGATGCAGTGGGAGGAGAGAAATGGGAGCAGTGTGCTGGGAGATGCATGCTGCCATAAGCAGAGGGGAAAGAGAGGAGAGGCAAAAGAAGCCACAGGCAAGAGGAGGTTTTTATAGTCATCAGCCCCCCTCCCAACTGACATGTCTGACCTGTGACCATCCCAGGGGTGGGCAGCAGATGCAAAAGCAGCAAAGGGCCATGTGCTCACCCAGAGATATTCTGTACCTTCTTCTCAGAGCTCTGTCCCAAACATGCAGGGCAGCGTTTGGCACGTCAAACCACCCCTAGGCCAGGCTTCTTACTGCCTCAGCTCTGCCCGCATCAGCCAGCAGGTCTGCTGACTCTCAGTTAACCCTATCTCCCAGCCCTGCTCCATCTCCCTTCCCAGCCTGGGAAGGCTGGGTATGCAAACCATCCCACCAAGACATGCTCTCCACATCCAACCCTTTCTATTTCCACTTCTTCCTCCCATTCAGCTGAGACAGAGCCAGGCTGAGAAGGGTCAGACTCACCCCATGAACACCAAGGCTCGGTGTAAACCAGCAGAGCAGTTCCCAGGGCTTGGGCTGGAGAGTTTGGAAATACCAGGCATGTCTCCTGACACCTCAGCAGCCTGCCAGTCTTGTGACCTGAAATCAAGGCTGTCAGAGACTGCTCATAGCTAATAGCAGTGGTTATTTGCATTCGAGCTAAGGGGCTGGCTCAGAAGCTTTAGGCAGTCACTGTTCCAGATAACAAAAAAGGGCAGTCCTTGCACATACACTCTGGACACATCTGGGCAGCCTCTGCTCCTGGGCACTACCATGTGGTTGAAGTCTAAGGCACAAATCTGGAAGAAGAACAAAGGCAGAGCTCTATGAGAGAGAGCAACATCCATTCTTTTAATAACAGCACCTCCAACTTGCTGGTAAAAGAGAGGCAGGAGCTTTGCCTGGTTTGGAGCACAGGTCAGACCACAGCAGGGTGCTCCCTGCTTTACTCCTTGACCAGACAAATGTCACTTCCCAAAGCATGTTCATCCTTCTCCAAGCCAGTGCTTGGCAGGTGGACTGCATTTGGACTGGAGGCCACAGTGCTGCCGTCAGCCCTGGAGAAACATTCCAGAAGAAAACAGCCCCTGGGAGACTTCACCATCACAGCCTGCTCTGGAAGAAGACAGCATCTACCAGGTCTTCACTGCAGGTAGGACAGGGACCTTCACTGCACAGAAACCCAAGTGACCACTAGCATCATGAGAATGGCATTGCACTAGATTTACTCTGTGGAGCTGGGGTCAGACTCTAACCCTGGTTTTTACACAGCTTTTTTATCATCTCCCCTCACCACCACTTAACTCCAAACCCAAGAACTGGAATAACCAAATGCCATCAATTAAATTGCCTTGGAGGAAACAAAATGTGCATTTTTACAGTCCTAAGCCAGAGCCCTGTTCTCATACATGATCAAAAGGGTTTTTAAGATGCATGAAACACTTGCATCAAAGGCAAATATTATTGCTTCCTGACTTTTTTCCTTTGGAACCCAAAGCAGATGAGAGAGAATTCATAATATGGAATAAGAGGTGCCCCTTAAAACAAGAAATCAACGTATCTAGTCCTCAGCTGATGTAGGACTGGACGGATTCTTCATATGGGTAGAAGAATGGTCCTGGTTTGGTGCTGGAATTGCAGTAGGAAAAAACTGTAGTGGGAGACAAGAATCCTTTCATGATGGACTAAAGAAAAAAAAAATTCAGATTTCTGAATCTTCCTATTAGATGAATGATTCTGCAGAAGCATCTCTTCCCACATGCTCAAACACCCTTCCCCTGACTAAAGGAGAGTGACGGTGTTTGTTGCATACACAAATCCCACACATGCTCTTCCCATCCCGTTTCAGGCAGTGCTTCCCAGGCTGTATCAAGTGCAAACTGAAATCACCTGAAGAGTGTCACTTTAAAAGCCACGGAAGTGCAGAGAGCAGCACCAGCAGCAGTCAATAGCAATTTCCACCGCCGGGTCGATACCATCTGATGGCTGTGTAGCTGTAAAGATTGTTTCACACACATATCAGGAGGTGGGCAGGGGCAGGAAAAGTGGAATTGGTTTTAATGATTGCAGGATTCAAAGTACTCCTGGCTCCCTCTCCCTCTTCTTCTTTCATAAGAAATACACGCACAAAGAGTCAGAAATCAAATTTCCAGCCCTGTCAGTTCCTATCACACCAGCTCCCCAGCTTGGACTCCTTCCCAGTTTGCCAGGGAAGCTTCTTCTAATCCACTGAGGAGAGCATTACCGGGAGACAGAGCTGCAGCCTGTGTCCAAACTTCCCTGCAGTCTCAGGTCATTAGCTCCACCGGTTTGGACACGGAGCTACAGCACAAGTGCAGCGCTCAGGTTCAAACCCAAAGGGTTTCCAGATGAGGGTAATTTGCAATATTTTACCTCCCCAGACAAGATCAGCATCTCATTTTGCTAGATGCTGGATAGGCAGGGAATAGTAGGCAGCACAAACAACTAAACACAACAAAGAGAGAGGGTACCCGCTTTGCAGAGAAAATGTGTGAATGGCTCTAGTCTAAAAATAATAGCCCATTGTGTTTCTGCTGCCTCATAAAGTGCTTTTCAGCCACTGACTCCAGGGGCAACACATGAACGATCCTGTCTTGGTCAATGTTAAGAGCATTGCTGTGGGAGGAAGGAGGTTGGTTCTATGGCCTGGGGTTTCCAGGGCTGGCCCTGCGGTCCCAGCTCTGCTTTTTGGCTCCCGTAAACGTGCTCAAATACCAGTCACTGCTTCTGTTTCCCTTGCACTGTCTGTCTGTCTCCTGCCTGAGGCACGAACTCTTTCTTACAGGGTTTCACTAGCTGGAGCTCTGATCTCTGCTAGGAAAATCTCTTAAATGCTTCTGCAGTAAATGAAAGCCAAGACTGCATTTGCTTTTCAGAAAATAATGAACATTGGTTTGAGTCTTTGTTTTCTAATTCGTTAATTCACTGACCTCTAAACACAAACTTCTCCCTCACCATCACATAAATAAGCAAGATAATTTTCCAAGGGACTGAGTCACCACCAGTGTTTCCTCCGACCCTTAGTGCCTGGGTAGCAAGGCAGGAGCAGAGTTGGGCATCTTCGAGCATCTCCCTCTGAAAACTGGGGCAAAGCATCCTCACCAGGGTTCATCAGAGTGTGCCAGATGGAACAACCCACTTCCTCTGCTCCTCGAATCATTTCATAAAACACAAGGCACAGCTGTCTTAACATGCCCATCATGGAATATTTTATTGACATCTTAATTTAGGCCTCATATGATAACTGAGAAGCAAACACAATAACCACAGGCATACGCTACCGACTTTCCTTCACCTTGCAGGACGCCACAAGAACCTGTAGATGTGTAACACGTGGACACACCCATCCTTCCTTCTTTTTCTCCCAGCCCTTAAGACATCAGCCCCTATTTGCTGCAGCTTTTTATTTTACTTTTAAATAAATACTCAAGCATTTTGGGGCCTGACCACCAGATTGATTCTTTTATGGAAAGGATAACACATATGCACAAAATCCCCAGGGGCTAGAAGAACGCTCCCAAACTCCCAGTCTCCAGAGTCCTTTTAGAAGCAGAAATGACAGGTAACAGTACCCAAATCTTGAAGCCTGGAAATGGTGAGTGAGGCAAAGCTTCACTGCAAGGGCAGGACTTGCAATTAGTAGGACTTGCTGAAGTTCTGAATCAACAGAAAACCACCTGGGGTTCAGTCACCAAAGCTACTACTGGCTCTGGATATCCAGCTTCACAAATAGGTTTTTTCCTGGGAAGAAATATAAAGAGAGGAATGAAGGAAGGGGAAACACATGATTTCAATATTTTTAAACAAGGCATCTTGCTGTTTCATTTTGAAATGCTTCTAATTTATACCAGCAGTGCCAGGAGATATGGGGAGGGTGACAGACACAGTGCAAGATGAAAAAATCTGAAGTCTTGGGATTACTGAAGCACGTTAGCTCAGCTGAGAGAGGTTGACACAACGCAGTGGACCTCTGACCCTTGAAGGAAGCTGGAAAATAAACTCCATCTCCCTCCACGTGCATGACACTGATGGTGAGGCCACTTGTGCCCTTCAGCCTGCCCAGCAATGCAGAAAAACCTGCAGACGATGAACACTTGAAATTCAGAGATGTCGAGGTCATAAGGGCCACCCACATTAACTAAACCTACCCTGGTGCTGGGCAGGGAGAAGAGCTGTAGGAATTTCAGGTCAGTGTCTGCCTTGCCTGTGGAACCACACACAGTGGAAGAAGACACCCCCTGAGGCCCACAGTGTCTCCTTGGCAAGTTCTCAGCTTTGCTAATTGTTCACCAAGCCAGCACCCACCACCCTTTCTGCTCACAATAAACCAAAACATCACAGAAGTCTTGATGCATTAAAAAAAAATAAACCAGCAAATTATTTTTGTTTCTCTTTTGAGTAATTGTTTTCAGGTTTCTGCAAAATAAAAGAGTGGAAGGTCCCTGTAATGGCTCAAGTCCAGAGGCTGGGACTTTAAATAAAATCCCACGCACTGGGAGATGCTCAAGGCAGTGGCGAGCACAGCTTCTGCTCTGCCTGTGCTCAACCCTGCAAAAGACTGAAAGGGCTCTGTCTGCTCAGCAGTCAAAGAAAATCTTCGTCGTGACTTGATCCCAGATACCCACAGAGTGAAAATAGCTGAGATTGGCATGTTCATTAGGCTTACAGGTAAAAGGCACAGTAAGCAGCAAAACCCAAAATAAATAGTGGGAGTTGACAACACTGAGTGAGAGAACCTTGCATGAGAAATAAAAGACAATTTTGAGCAGGGAGGGTAGTTAATCACCAGGCCTGGTTACCAAGGGAAATGGCAAATTCAACATCAGTCAGAGGTTGTGCATGCAGACTGGACATCTTCCAAAAAGCGACACTCTGATTCAGGATCAAGCTTTTGTGTTCAAGAGCATCTCTCAGAAGATAATAACACCCTCACAGCCTCCATGGGTGTTGCTGGCCTGAGCTGCCAGGCAAGTGGGCAGGGGTCATAATGCTGCAGAACTCCCAGCCCAGCGTCTCCCCCCAGCTTGGCTCCCCCAGTCTCAAGGAGGCTGGCTCAGGGGGCCCAGCCAAGAGCTGAAACCCTGCTCTGACTGTGGCCCTTCTCCAAACACCCTGCCTGAGCCGGGCTCTGAGTCCCAGCCTCTGTCACGCTCAGCTCCAGTGTGGTGCTCCTGGACACCGTGGAAAGCTGTGCTGGAGACCCTGCACCAGAGCACTGGCTGCCCAACACAGCAAGGAAGCAGAATAATCATCTCTTTTTCTTTACTCCTTTTTTGTCACTGCGTCTGCTCCTTCCTTCCTTTAGCTGCCATGCAAAATTCAGCCCAAAATACATGCTCTACCTTCCATTTACCCCTTCAGGCAGTTTTCTTGATGCCCAAGATGCTGATTTGAACTGGCCTCTCTCTTAGTGCCACCTTACCGCCAGCTTGGCTCCCCATCCCTCCTTGGAAGCAAACACAAAAATCCAAGGGCAAGGCAAAGTGGCCTTGGCATCCCTGATGTGCTCCTGCACACCTTGATCTCCCAACCATCGCAGGGGCAAAATGCAAAATGGATCAGTCTCTGACTTCCAGTTTTGACAGAAGACATGGAGAGCAAAATGCCAGCTAGTATGTCACGGCACCGCAGTCCCTGCATGGAGGTGACTCCCCACATTCCAAAGGGCAGAGCTGTGCTCTCTCCCCTCCTTCTGCACCAATCAATATGGCCAATTTAAACAGGTTTCCAAAGAAAGCAAGTGCCTGCAGCTCATGCTGCTTCCCTGACCCTTGTAAATCCAGTCTCTTGAGTGAATGGCTTGTTTGGAGAGAGCCCTCCGTTTGTTTGTCTGGGCTCTAGTGATAATAGCTCTAATTTATCTCTGAGCTGGGCAGGCATGTCTAATGTGTTTGAGTATTTAGAAGCATTACGGAGGTTTCATTTGGTCAATTGTTTCTTGAAATCCTTTCCCACACACAGAACAGCCATGCAAAGGTAGAACTGCTCCACAGTGGGCAACCACAGGAGCTGCAGCCTGAGCTGCCAGTCTGGGAAGGGCACCCACTCTGGGGCAGCTGGATTCATGGAAGAGAAGGCACAGTGACCCCAAAGCCCTTAGCACCCAATCTAGGAAATTAGAGACCAAGCAGATGACCTTTGAAAGGAACAATGACAAGACAGTCTGGAACGTGGCACCACATCTCCTCCTGCTTAGACCTTCCCGCCCTCTTGGTTTCATCCTCCATGTAAGCGCAGTCCATCTCAGCCCAGACTGGACAGGGTTATCTTGGCATCTGCACTGGAAAATAAGCACAGTTGGCCAACACATTGTTCCTAATCTTAAATTAACCCTTCCTGCACTCTGAAGTCCATTCCAGCTGTAACCCAACACCTGCTGAAGACCCTTTAAGCTGGGTCCCAGCAGAAGGGAGTTAACCTGAGTCAGTGCTGGGGAACAGAGAGATGTGAGATAAGGTCACAGGTAGAGCATTCGGTCCAGCTACTGGAGTTAAGACTTACAGATCGAGACTCCTCGGCTTAACACGCTCCTGCACATCACCTGTGCTGTGCCAGCAGGCCTGCGCGTGCTCCGGCCCGTGACAAATGCGAGGTCACGTGCTTCGGCTTAAATCACTTTCGTGGAGGTTTCAGCAATTCTCTTCATGCCATTTCAGCTAATTTTAGCTGCGAGCCGAGAGGCCGTTACTGAGGTTCAGCTGACTGGTGGCAATTTATCAGGTCACCCTGTTGGGGTAGAGGGAGCCCGATCCAATTCAGCTCCGCGCTCTCCACTCTCCCTATCCGGACACAAGAGCACCAAGAACCAAACCTGTAACCCCGGAGCAATTTAACAAAGCATTAGCATGAGCAATCCCCCATCACTCCCCATGCCTCTCCTCCCCACCAGTCCATGCACCAGGATGCAACCAGTGCCCGGGTGGAGCGTGTTAGGCACCGCGCAGCCGGGAGGAAATGACGCTGCAGCTCCCCGGCTGCGACCGTGGGGCTAATTTATAGAGGCCGAATGTAATTACTTACCCTGGCACACTGCCAGGACACCAAGGTTAACACCCTTGCTCTCCAAAGAGTGCCAGGGGAATGTTAGAGGGATGCTGCCAAGTCATTTTATACGCCTTGACTTCAGGTGTTGCAAACAGCAAGATTTAGCAAGGGCCAGTCGGGAGGAGAAGGGTTGTCATGGAATTTTTTTAAAAAGCAACATAGAAGAAGGGGGTTTCTTTCTGCTTGACTGTCTGGGCTCGTTAACTTAAGCTTTACTGTGCTGCACCAGCCCTGCAAAAAAGCAAGGACTTGCAGATGCCCTCTTTGGTTGCTTTGGAAAGTTTTGAGCCTCTCTTGGCTTTGCTAGAGAAGTCTTGCAAGGCCTTGAAATATATCGCTTCATCTCTGTCCCTGAGCTCCCTGTCCCTGCGATGGCCTTGGCAGCGTCTGAGCTGTCAAATCCTGGAGCAGGGGCTGGCAAAGACACTGCGTCTGTGCCGTGCTGGCCAGAGCAAGTGCTCGGCTCCACAGACTCCTATGGTTCTGGCAAAAGTTTCCCATGGCTCTAATTTTTATTTTTTTTTTACATGGGTTTAAAGCCAACTGAAATAGCCCTTGTTAAAAATAAAAGCCACCAAATTTAGCCTTCCTTCCCTCTTCCCCCACCACCTCCCATTTCCTGGAGTACTTGCAACAGGCAGCTGGTTGGGAGGTTTTTTTCCCCAGGGATTTTGTCTGTTATTTATAAAGCTTTGATGAAAACATGCAAAAGAAAGAGAAATAAAAAAAAATAAATCAGCTTCCAGGTGACCTCTTTCCTTCTGCAGCAGCTCTGCTCCCCGCAGCAATGAGGCATCGCAGCAGCCACGGCTTCAGGGACCACATCCAGCATCCTTTGGGGTCAGTGCAATCCTGCCCTCTGCCTTCCCTGAAGGTTATCTCCAACCCCCTCTCTGTCCTTGAGGGATATAGCAACGAGAGATATAATTCCCTTCATTTAAGTTTTACTAGTTTAGCAAAAAAGTTTCACAACCCCCCACCTCTTAACAAGTGCCATGTTACTGGCAAGTGTCCCTGGAACTTACTGGTTTGGAGTACTTATCATAGAAATATAGAATGGTTTGGGCTGGAAAGCACTTTAAAGAACACCTTATTCCAGTCTCTCTTGCCATGGGGAGGGACACCTTCCACCAGACCAATTTGCTCCAAGCCCCATCCAATCCCTTGAACGCTTCCAGGCATGGGCATACACAGCTTCTCTGGGCAACCTGTGCCAGGGCCTCACCACCCTCACAGGGAATAATTTCTTCCTAAAATCCAATCTAACCCTGGCCTCTGTCAGTTTGAAGCCATTCTCCTTTGTCCTTTCACTCCATGCCCTTATCCAAAGTCCTTCTCCAGCTCTCCTGTAGCCCATTTAGGTACTGGAAGGTACTTTAATGTCTCCCTGAAGCCTTCTCTACTCCAAGATGAACAACCCCAACTCTCTCAGCCTGTGAAAATGTCTCTGGCCATTTTCTCAGACAGAAACTCAGACAGAAAAGGGCAGGGCAGGACACCAGTCCCTTTACCCTCTGCAGGTCACTTTTCCAGGAGGAGGGCAAGGACAAGCATGGCAAGAAGAGCAGCCACAAGGCAGCAACCCCCACTGAAGGGCTGTGACCTCTGCGTGCTCTGCTCAGCCTGATGTGGGCCCGGGGACACTGTCCATCCCAGGAGCATCAAGCCATGCTCCCAACTCCTTTGGCTGCAGTGATGCTTATCCATATATTTATCTATACGTCCATGTCTGTATGTATTACAGCATGCACGCGATGCTTATTGAGATAAATAATATTTTGAGAACAAACATTTCATTTTAAAAGTCGCTGTCTCTGACAACAAGTTAATTGTCTATCATATCATCTCTCAAACCCAAACATTTTGAAAGCTAGGAAATAACTAATTAAGATCATCATAAATCTTGCTCTGTCTCACAAGCCCATTTTCCGAGGAAATAGGAAGAAATACATATTTCATCACAATGCAACATCTGTAACTCTGACCTATAAGATATTAATGACTAGTTCACGTGGCTTCTCTGTCTAAACACTTTCTTGCAAAGGTTGCTATAAGGAGGCACAGGATAATTATTTGGTAACACTGTCCTGGCAATCTGTCTTCCAACAAATCCATAGACAGAGATAGTTCCGAGGGAAAAACAAAAGACCACATTAGGATCTTCTTGTCTAACACAAACCACGTGACTTCCTTGGATCCATTTTGCTTCAAACCAGGACAAATCTTAGAGAGGAACATAATTCACTGCTTCCAGTTAAAGCTTTGCTCCCTCTTCCTCCTTCAGACAACTGCTCCCAATAGGCTCCTTACACCCAGGTCTCTACCCATATCTGAGGCTTTCCTCAAATGCCTGTTTGGCCACAGCTTTGAAGAACAGCTGGCCATTTCTAGAAGACAACTTCAGATTAATCCTGGATAGATAAATCAAGCTCACTAGAGAAGATGCACAAAGCTAGGCCAGAACTACAACACTGTTAATGCACTCAGGGTGACTGAAGAGCTTGAGGATTTGAACATGGAGGAAATTTTAATTATTTGGGTTTTTTTTCAGTTAGAGTTTGAAATGCAGGTGGGACAACCATTCAGGCAAGGCTTTGAGCCAGGAACCACGTTTTATAGGAAAAGTGTGTTCACAATTAGCGTCAGGACTACAAAGGGAAAAAGATGACATGGGGGAGAGATCAGCAAAGGAAGACACATCTGGAAACTAAGAAATACAGGAACAAAATGAAATTTGGCAGGACTCAGGTGGAGCTAGACCTCAAAGGGGAGACAGAAACACAGGAAAAAGTGTTTTCATCATAAAAAGAGAGCAAGAGACAAAGTACAACTGCTCCACACTCATAGTGGAGGTCTCTGTTAGGGTAGTTTGGACACGGGCCCAAGAATAAATCAATACTCAGTGCCTGGTGAGGGCAACAGCAAGAGCAAAATGAGAGCAAAGTGTAGAAATGGCAATGATCCTCACCCATGTGATGGCCCGGGGCCGAGGGAGGCAGGTATTCCTCATAGTCCATCACTTGGAGAGCCAGCATCAAAGTCACCCTCTGTGACTGCAGGGTGGGAAATGTAGCACCTCTGCAAAGCCAGTGGGTCAAGGGTCTGCAAAGCCTCAAGACAGGTTTGAAGCTGGGATCATTTGGGACTTGGAGCTCACTACACGGAAAATGAGCCAAAAGCACAACACTGGCTCCTGCAAATTTGTGTCTCAAAGGGCAAATCCCTAAACCTGCTTCCTAGATAAAACAAAAGGATCAGCTGGGGAAGACTTCAGCAAATGGTGCCCCATGGGACACATCCTGTTGGAGTGCAAGGATGGGGAGCATGGGACAAGGGAGGACGGGGAGCATGGGAAGCAGAGAGGCTTAAGCTGAAAGACTGCAGAAGTGCTCTGCAAGACCATGTGTTTGCTTTGGGCACAAAGAGCTGACTCCAGCCAAGCAACTGCCCAAAACCAATCCACTTCCCCATCTATGAGCCAGGGCCATGGCAGGAGCAGAAACTCCTGGCCTCGGGGCAGAGTAGGCTTTGATGCAGTGCAGAGTGGGAATTCAAACATAAAGCTACATATAGAGTGGCTCCTCCACTGATGAAGCCCTGATTTTGTGAAGGGCATGTGAATTTAAGCTAAAGGAAAAAAAGGCCCTCTTTATACTGGAATGAAAATGTCTAGACAGAGCCTTCCTGCTGTAACTGGACCTACATATACTGATCATGATACACCTGATAAAACTTTCCAGGTAGACAAGGACTAAGAAAGACTTTGGCAGAAGTTTCATCAGGAGCCATTTCAAAAGTCTTCAATCTCGAGAATTACTTATGCTATGTAATGAAGTCTGCATTATGGCTGTTCATTACATGAACCCTGAACACTAGAAAGCAAGAGGATTTTCTCTGGCATTCCAACAGGAATCCACGGCATAGACAAGGCTGGCCCTCAGCGTGAGGTCATATCTCCCTCTAGCTGCTGGTCCTGGGGACTCCGCAGCCTTTGACCACCCAACTCCTGCACAAGCTCCCCTGTGACCTCTCCCACGAGCTGGTGCTCCCAGTGCTGCAGGTTTTGGGGTCACTTCTTGCTGGCTGAAGTGCTCCTCCAAGGAGTGCATAACAGCTCATCTTTTGGAGAGGACATACTCCAAAAGGGAGCGAGAGAGGCCAAGAGTAAAAGCATGAGGTTGATGGCTTCTCCAAAATAAGCCAGTGCGGGCTAGTCAGTGTGGTGTGAAAAGAGCCCAGGACCCTTTGCAGAGAAGACATCCTACACTGAGATACCCATGGCTTATCAAAGAACCATAGAATCATTTGGCTCAGAAGGGATCTTACAGATCATCTTGTTCCAGTCCCCCTGCAGTGGGCAGGGACACCTTCCACTAGACCGAGGGACTCAGAGCCCCATTCACCCTGGCCTTGAACACTTGCAGGGATGGGACACCCACAGCTTCTCTGGGCAGCCTGTTCCAGTGTCTCACCACCCTCACAGTCAAGAATTTTCTCCTAATATCTAACTTAACCCTGCCTTCTGTCAGTTTAAAGCCATTCCCCCTTGTCCTATCACTACAGGCCCTTGTCAAAGTCCCTCTCCAGCTCTCTTGTAGGTCTCTTTCAGGTACTGAAAGCCAGTGGTAGTGACTCCTTCTGGCAGGTGCCAACCAGGAATCCAGATGATCAACAACAACAACAACACATCCAAAAAAAAACTCCAAGAAAAAACTTTCCTTAGCTGCAACTTATTTTGTTCAGATACATCTGGACATGTAAGTTTTCTAGAAGCACCAACAGGCTTTGAGGAGCAAGAGACAGAGAGCAGCAGGAAAAAATCAACACTTCAACGACTAGAAAGGGTCCAGCTGAAACACTCTCAACTCATGAAGCTCTAAAATAATGCTCCTCAGGCACAGCAGGAACTTTATCAGCTCTTCACAGTCCAAACACAATTTCCAGCTCCAATCACTTTTCTAAGCCAAACCCACAGGAGAAGTAAAATGGGACTTTTATCAGGCAGCTGAGCACACCCTGAGGCTCCTTATCCTCTAGTCAGGCGAGCTATTGGCACAGGAGCTGGCTGTCATGCTATTTCCAGCACTGGTTGTAGCAGAGAAGTGTTATGGGGCAAACAGCACTTCAAGCCAGGCTAGGGCTGGGGAACACCTCAGACCTCTGCTAAATTCACCTTGCTTCTCCCAGGATCTCAAAGTAAAGCATGTCTGTATGGCAAGGCAATGGCCACAGCTCTGCTCTTCCCCTTAACCAAATCCTGGCTCTCCAGATCCCCTCTGCAACACCTGTAGAGATTCAAAAGAGCCTTCTCACATCACCTGAAGGTCCCTTTACATTGCCCATGGACTATAGAGGGGCTCCAGGCTGGAGCCAACAGTGGAGCATTTCTGTGACAGACCCTGGCAAGACTGGTGTGTTGGAACAGCCACACACACACACACACACACAGAAACACACAGTGTCCACCTTGCAAAGTTTCCCCTGGATTTTTGTTACCATGTCATCTATTAATTACCTAATTACATCTCCTAATTATGGGATTCCTCCAGTATTTATACTCATTACATAAATGGCGGCAATTACACTAATTAGGTTAATGATACAGGATAACAGTCTACAAATTGCTTTAAAGGGACACTCTCAAGGCACACAGGCCAAGGATGCTCCCTGGCAGGTCAGCTGGTGGGTGGCATGCAGACATGCTCCTTCACCCTGCGGGGATGCTGCTGCACCTGCTGCTGCCTCCTCGACTGGCCTCTACCTGAGCACTGGGGCTGCCACTGTGGGGCCTCACTCTGCCTCGACAGAGAGTAGCTGCAAATAGAGCTACCAGGGAGCTAAGGAATCCTAGAATCACAGAGCAGTTTGGGTTGGAAGGGGTCTTAAAGCTCATCTCTTTCCAACCCCACGCCACGGGCAGGGACACCTTCCACTAGACCAGGTTGCTCTGAACCCTGTCCAACCTGGCCTTGGACACTTCCAGGAATGGGGCAGCCACAGCTTCCCTGGGTAACCTGTGCCAGTGCCTCACCACCCTCACAGTTTAGAATTACTTCCTAATAACCAATGCTCTATTGCTTCCACTGAAAACTGTGGTCCACTGCTTAAGCATGACTCTCCCTAAGCTGGAAAGCTGAAGTAAGGGTTGCAAATATTTCTTCTCTGGTTGTATGGAGACCTGGGAGGAGGAAGGCAGAGCACCCGCGCCCTTCCAGGCTCCCCTGCACCACTTCTGAGTGCACCGCAAGTCCTTGAGCCCTGCTTAGCTGGATGCGACCCAGTTTCTTGCTTATAGGCATTTCCAAAATGGGAGGTTTGAAGAGAGGGAATCCAGCTCCTGTGCTCCAGAGAGAGATCCCCTGGAGCTCCAGTGGCACTCTGCAAAGACAAGCATGTCCTCGGGGTGAAAGGCGAGCCATGGGAGGCTGGAAGGAATCTATTTTGCTGAGCGCCCTACTTACCCAGATTTGCTGGAGCCTGAGCGGCGCATGACAAGGTGCTTGCCCCCATATCTCACCCAAAAGAATCCTAAAGCAGCACCAAGCTCCATTACTCTCCGGAGCGGCCTGGAGCACCGGGAGAAAACTTTCTCGCTTGGATTCAAATGCAGGCACTTCTCCGGTGGAACACGGGAGCCTTTTGCAGCACTTTGGAGCGTGATGAATGGCCCTTTGTCCTGCAGCCACTACAGAAAGAGAGCGTAATTACCCAAACTGGAATGCGGCCAGGACGCAATTTTACGCGGAATGAATTCCTCCCCCCCCCCCTTAAAGTGTTTGCAAATCCCCCTTTAAAGATAAAATCCCAGAATAAAATCCAGCGCTTGCTTCAGAATTGGCCCAATTCCATTATAAGTCAAGTGAACAACTCCATTTTGCACCTTTAAGGCCATGGAGCTCTCTATGTTGTGCAAGAGATTTCATTATTGGCAAGGTTGAGGAATGCTGATTTCTGCTACTGAACTGCTGTCTTAGCCCTAAACTATATCCCTGTGTCAGCTGCCCAAAGACATGTGTAACCAGGTCCATTTTCTGAAAGATATACAGCTGCATGCAGGTTTATAGCCTGTTCCAGCAGGACATGGCTGGCACTTCCAGTGGAGCAGGCTGACCAGTCTCCACTCTAACAGGCGGGGTCTATGGCTCCAGCGGGAGTCTTGCAGGAGCGTATATCGATTGTAAATAACGTCTCAATATCCTATAGTAGGTCATAAATCAAAAAGGGGTTGAAATATCTTTTCTCCAAGGGACTTTTTTTTTTAAAGGAGTCTATTTCTTGTTTAGTAGTTTTCTTTGTAGAGTTACTGCGTCGACCTTTTACCCCAAGTGCCAGGTTTGAATTGAGGCTGGTGATCCCTGCTTGACCTTCCCCAGGGATGTGCTGCAGCTCTGCAATGAGTCCAGGCCCCAGGTATCCCATGGGAGAATAGTCACATCTCCCACCTGGGCCAAACCCCTCTCCCAGGTGGTGCCCTTTGCCTTGCTGAGCAAGTCAAGCCCCACAGCGGCCACATCTCCCCCGGTCACAGTCGATGGCTTCGGGAAGAGTCTCCCATCAAACAGCATTAGAGACACTCACCATGGAGATGGACATCTTGTAGTGGCTGCAGGACACCGAGATTCTCCCTGCTGGGTATGGACCAACACCATCTTCAACTTCTGTGCAGCATATTTGACTGATATCAACCCAGAAAAGAAAAACAAGTTTAGAGCAATGAAGACAGCAGCTTTTCCCCTCTACCACGTGCCATAAGGGATCCCACCGAAAGCCTAACCATCATCCCAAAACTCTCCTCTCTTTGGGAATAAAACCCAACCCCACATGTGCCTCCAAACCACATGTGCTGGCACAGCAATGCAGCAAAAGGAACGACCTGAGAGTTTTGTCCTGCTGGACATGCCACTGGCACAGCCCTCAGCCCAGGGCTCGAACCCACGTGTTGTTATCAACACAGGACATGGGACAGATGCAGCTTCCAACCCACCGTGCACAGCCCAGTGTCTCTCACCTCCTCAGTGGCCCTGACTTGCAGAGCCATTTGAAATGGCTCAGGGCAGAGATACCTTTTTTTTTGTCACATCTCTGTAGGGCTCTGTCACAGGGGCTACCAGTTCCTCAAATTGCTGCAATATGCTGGAAAAAAAAAATAAAGAAAAATCCTTCTTTGGGCAGCTTTTAGGGGTATGGAGCAGAGGGAACTGAACATCTGACAGAAGGACAGAAAAAAAACTAATAGTTTGGTGTCCAGAAAGTCCTCTAAAATGATCCAAGTGGAGCTTCCCTGTTGCATGACCCTACATGGTACTTGGAGACACCTACAGTCCCTCTCTCAGCATCCCTTGTGTGCCACCAGCATCCTGCAGGAGAGGGGACAGGCCACCCTGATGGCCACAAGCAGCAGGACACAGTCCTACTGCTCCCTCTCCAGCACTGCCTTGGTAGGACCAGGGCAATACTGATTTCTCCAAGTCCAAGAAGTATTTGAGCTTGCCTGGCAATAAAATCAAGCCCAGAGAAAGGTGCAACGGGATCTCCTGGGACTGAAACAAGAGCTACGATCTTTAAAGAAGCCAAGAGGGAATAAAAGGGAAGGAAGGGTGGGAGGGGAAGAGCATTTACCTGCACAAAAGCAAGAACATTGACAATAACCCAGCTCAGCTCCAGTTTGCATGGGAGACTTTGGAGAAGGGGGTGGGAGGTAAGATGGGAAATTACCAGGAGCTTAAGAAAATATATATGTAAAAATTAAAAAAATAAAATAAAACTGTATAAGCATTGACTAATAATTTCCGGGCTCTGCGCAGATGTCATTAATGACCCTTTTTATTCATGCAGGAGTTCCCAAAGAGGAGCATAATGTTCCATTAGTAATAATTGAGAAAGTCTCCTGTCGGGATTATGTCAAAACCTAGAGATGCTGCTGCTGCCAAAACATTTTGGTGACAAACGTGTGAAGCGTTTGACAGAAGGTGCCACAGCAGGTTGAGGCGGCTTCAGGAGGGGAATCCTAGGAGAAAAGAGGTGGGAGACAGCAGCAGGGTGGGAGCTGAGCACCAGCTCACTGGGAACATGACTCAAAGCCCACCTACTGCAGCAGCTTTGGGGTCATGATGATGACCGCCTCTGAGACCAGCTTTGGGCTTAGAGATGTTGCTGAGGACTGCTCAAAATTTGGGCTGACCCATCTCTTCTCCCCTCCCTGCTCCCCCTGCCCCTCCCCCAGACTTTTGCAACACATCTGCCATGGCTCAGTGCCACTGGACCCTTTCATCCAGGGATGGCTGTGTCCTCTCCCACTGGGGACAGGCAAGAATGTTGCAACACCCTGAATGTTTCTTGCTGCTTCTCACAGCCCATGGGCCAGCAAGTGGGGACCACTGCAGCCACAGGCACAAAAGGCAAACCCAGCTGTGAGCAGCTAACCCAGTGTTTCCCAGTTGAAGAGGATGGAGAAAATTTTGTGTGACACAAGCAGATTCCTCCCTTACTTTTCAACCCACAGCAAATCTGAGCAATGCCTTTTGAACTATGAAACACCAGCAAAACTTAGACAAATAGGAAAATAAATTTCATTTACCAAACCTTTCCAATTTATAACTGGCATATCTCTTTTTTCACCCAGCAGATGCAGAGCCCTGCATGACCACAGCTGGTGTCTGAGCACCAGCATTACACTTCTTCTGCACAGGCACCACTAGAAAACACAGGGAGAGTGAGAGGTTTTCCAGGTTCAGTACTTTTCTGAGAAAGGTTAATTAATGCCTTGCAAGAGCCAAAACAACACATTCCTTCCTCTGTCCTCATCCCCCCTCACCAAGCCCCTCCTGGGACTGGAGTCCTCAGCATTACCTACCCTACATGCTGCTCTTCCAAACCAGAAACCACCTCCACACAGCTCAGCACCACAACATCCTCAGGCCTGACAGACACAAGTTACAGGGCTTGGGCAGAGGGCCAAGCTCGGGAGAAGAGCATCAGGGAGATATGGGAAGGGGTCCACAGGCATCAGCAGGGACTGGGGATAAGCCAGGCAGATGGGCAACACAGGGAGAGCTGGAAAAGCCATCCTGGCTCCCCATTCCCACACAGGAAAGCTTTAGCCCCCTTGAGCACAGCTCCTCCTGCCATGGGGAAGCACCCATAGCTCAAGCACCATGAGCCACACATTCCCCCCTTGCTGCACAAAACCAGGCAGATCACATTGCCCAATCTGCCCCCACTGCCAGGAGGGTGGAAAAAGGGAATTAAATGCAAGCACTGTCCTGGCTGCAGCCAGGGAAGCCCAAGCCAGAGCACCTCCAAGTCACCATTATACAGAGCCATGGGCAGAAAAAAAGTTTGTCACCACTGTATTATTTGCCCTTTTAGAGCAGAGAGATATTTGGAGCCAAGACATCGGTTCAGGCAGCATGTAAAGCAATGAAATTCAGATTTGGATCCAGAGCTGGAGTCTAGAAGCCATCTCAGTTTGCAGGAGCTGGTTGAGGCGTGTTTCTAGTCCCCAGACCACAGCAGAAGGGCCTCTCCTCCCTGGGGCAGGAGCAGAGCAGCTGGTACTCTTCAGCCCAGTTAACAGCCGAGGTCTGGCCACCACAGCCAAGGGCTGCTCCAGATTTGTTTTCTAGTGGTTTGTTCATTGAGAGGCTGCCAAAGTGTTAGCAAAGAGAAATGCACACTGGCCAGATCCTCCCCAGCCCAGCCCTGCCTTGCACCAGAGCAAATCTGCTGCAAGCTGGAGCGAAGGCCCTGCCGAAGGAGAGCGCGTGCTCGGCGCTCTGCTCTAACCACCTCCCCGAAGTACAGGGTACATCCCAAATGGCTCCAATTAGGGCAACCCCCTCAGAGACAAGCCCGTGGGACCCACGTACCCACCACACAGAGTCCTATCCACAGGTCTGGTGTAGCTGGATGAGCCGTGTCCTCTCCCCCGACACCTGTGGGAACGCTGCAGCTCCCGGCCCCACCGCGGTGGCCGGACAGAGTCGGAGGCAGCAGTGCCACTGAAAAGAGCATGAAGGCTGATTGCTGTAATTGAGCCTACCAGGGGAATTTCGGTCTGTGGGAACGCACAGTACATCCCAGCCTGCAGGAGCGGGGGTGGAGAATACCCGAGCTGTTCCTTTCGAGGACTAATGATGATGGGTTTTTGCTAGGACTCAAGCTGGCATGGATGAGAGCTCCCGCAGAGCGCAGAGTCAGCCAAATTAAGCGCTGGTCGTCCCTTGGAGAAATCCAGTCTAGAAGAGTTAGTCACAGGATGCTGCCAGCCTGGGTGCAGGCTATGCAGAGGAGGAGGCAGCAGGCAAGGAACCGTGTATCCTTGCTGGATTCCTACTCAGGGTTCAGCTAACCCTGGTCTTACAGCCAGGGTTATTTAGGTGGCAAGAGGCCAAGCACAAACGGTAAGGTGATTCAGATGTGGGCAAGATGATGCTCAGGTCTCTCTCCTTCTGTCACTTGGAGCCACAGGGCAGGTCAGTGGAAGGGGGAAAATACATAGCCCTACATATGCACCTTTATGTGTTCTTAGGTAGAGAACCTGCACCACAATAGATGCCCTTTTTACCATTTGGCCCCTTTTTGGGGTTCTGCCAGGCTTATAAATTTACTTCCCTGTGCATATGTATAAACTTACTCCAACATATGGTCAGATATGTGCTAGCCATTTCCGAACTATCCTGTAAAGGATTTAAATCCTGACAAAATGTGAAGTGCAGGTCTCATCGCAGAAGTCTGTGGTCTGGAAGGTGAGCATGGCAGCTGCACTGCTTTCCTGCCTAGCCTGGAAAATAATTGCTAAAGGATTTAACATGACTGTAAATAAGTTTGTACTGAACTGGTTCTTTGTAGCCAAATCCAGAGAGAAGAAACACAAGGAACACATTGCTGGTACTTGTGGTTAATTGCTGCCTTTTCTTTTGGGTCTACTTGGTTTGAAATATTAAATGCAGAAAAAACCATCTATTTTTTCTCCATAGCCTGTCAGTAGCGGAAGTGAAATATGGGTTTTTCTCTCTTTTTTTTTTTTTTTTATAAACAAGGAGTATAAACTGTTTTATAGTAACTAGATAAAATTACACAGTATTTTACTCAGTGGGGAAAAATATGGATCTCTGTGTGGCGGTATTTCTCCTATCTTTCTCACAGGCTGTACGTTAACATGACGACTCCACATAACTCAGCCTTGCAGAGTTGTCAGGGACATCTCTGAGCTCAGACACCCTCAGGTCTGTCCCATCATTGCCTCCGGCAGGGCCATGTGCTGGGGACAGCAGGGCTGTCCCCAGAGCAGGTGACATGGATTTTTAAAAGAGTTCTGGGGTTCCATGTCCCTCCCTCAACACCCCAAGAACCTGGGGAATAGTCCAGGAGTGACAGTCACAGGCTGAAGCCTGTATTTCACATCCTACAGTGGCCCACAACCAGCATTTACCCTGCAGAAGAGCTCTGGTCCAGCCCAAGCTGTCACATCGTCACTTGGAGAGGGATAACAACAATAGATCAGGAAAATACACCAACTTTTTCCTTCAGAACCAGCAAACCTATGAACAGAAACTTTCTTTTCTCTACAAGATCAAACCTTCTGCCCCCAACACCAACTGTTTTGCTCCAGCACGCCGAGCCTCAGCTCCACACCGCGAAACGCTCTGGCAGACCTCCCGCCCTTGGCAAACTCCAAATCTTCCACAGAAGCAGGGAATTTTTGATTTCACAGCGTTTCTCCCTTTGACCCTGAACCTACTCTAACGACTAGCCAATATTACAGAATCAAAATATCTCCATAGCATTTTATGTGCATTCTCGTGGTGACTCTGAAATTTTGGCTTTTCATCACAGTGCTCTGCAGAAGCATTTTCCAGATCTCTACAGAGGGTTAAAATTCACTATTTTCCAAATAGAAAAATCCTGTGCATTCCATATGAGTCTGTTAAATTTTGACTGAACAGTCAACAGCTGGTTTAGGTCAACCAAACTGAACATCTGGAGCCACCACAAATTTTTCCAGAGCCATTTGTAAACAATGAAGAGCCACTAGTGTCCTTACCTTTGGGCTCTGTCCTGCCACCTCCACAGCTTGGTGAGAGCTGTGGTGAAGGCAGAGGTGCCAGTTCCCCTCCATGACTGCGGTGGGAAGGAAGAATGAGCTCACTGTGTCAGCGCCTTCAGCCCTTCAGCTGTAAATCCAAAGTGCGGAGCAGAAAATCACAGAATGGTTTGGGTTGGAAGGGACCTTAAAGATCACGAAGTTCCAACCCCCCTGCCATGGACAGGGACACCACGATGTACAAATGGCTTTAGCTTTCCCCACCGATCACTGAACCCCCACCACCTTTAAGAGCAGAAATACAGAAGCACATTCCTAATCAAATAAGCTGGGTTTTCATCACAAGATGCAAATTTTCATTCAGAGATGAGCACACACACCCCTTTGCACAGCCCCTTGCACCCACACTGATACCATCTCTAGTGCTACCAGAGCATCCTACTGCTTCAGATGAAAATGAGAGATTTTTGTGATTATTTTCTAAATCGTATTCTACGGAAGAAAGAAAAAAAAATACAAGAGAGGATTTAATCTAAAAGTTTCACTGTCTGGAAGTCACGGTTGCTCCTGCAGTGTTAGTGCCCACTGTGCGGGGCTGACCCACGGGATTCTGGCGTAGGATGTGGTGTGGAGCGGGAGCAACGCTGCCTCAGCATCGCCCGTAGAGGGAGCATCCTCGGGGAGCCGGGCAGGGCTGACATCTTTTCATCAAAAGTGTTGAGCTTTAAAAAAAAAAAAAAATAATTTTTTTTCCCAGACAATATAAAGTATTGATTTTGAAGTTCTTGTGGTTTTTGTTTTTTTGGTTTTTCTTGGTTTTTTTCCCCCCCGTCACTCAAAGCAAAACAGGCAGCTCTGGGTTAAAACATTGAAAATGGATGTTTTGTGAGGGGGAGGGGGAAAAGAAATGGGGAAAGCAATGCTTTGCCCACCACTGCGTGTTTGCTGTTGGTTTTTAGTTGGATTGAATCAAGCAAATGGTCACTTTTCCATTTCATTTTGTTATAACGAAGGGGGGAAGAGCACTAATATTTCAGCGAAAATAAGATTCTGCAGTCTGCCAGGGCTCAAGTGTTAAACAGCTTTTCAGACCTACTGGATACCACTCTGAGTTTGAAATGTGAAGCCCCACGGCTGTTTTTCTACACATTCTTAGTTTAATTTCCTCGCAAACAGCCTCCCAGCCTCCAGTTACTTCTCCGCGATTCCCCCCCCCCACCCAAACACACACACACACACAGACCCTTTGGGCGCAGCCACAGGATTCCCGCAGCTCCCGATCTGGTGGAGGAACGTCCTTTTAATTCACTCTGTGGACGGCCCAGTTAGCATCCCAGTAAATGATTACCTCGGGGAACACTCGGTCTCAGGACTCGGCAGCCAGCTGGGAAGGCAGCCGGCACACGCCCCGCGTCCCCGAGCGGCTCTGGAGAGCCGGGAAGATGGAGGGCATTTTCCCGGCGAGGTGATGACGCTCAGGTGGCCGGGCAGCACAATTAGGCTGGGAGAATTACAGATTATCCCCGGTTTACAGCTCTCTGAGAGAAGAGAGGGGGAGAAGCACAATAAAAACATGATCAAATCGTTTGCTCTGCTGTTCAAACTTCTGGACAAGGCGAGAGATAAGCACAGCTCCACCCCCCATCTGCATTTGATCTGTAGGGCTTTGAAATTAAATATTCTCACTGCAACCAGAGTAGCTGTGCCCTGGTGAAAATCGCTTCTCCAGGCTCTCCCACAGCGTGGGGTTTGGGGATCCCTGCACTCAGCACTTTAAGAAGCAAAAACCCAAGAAGTTGCTGAGACCCCTCTGGTCCGGGTGCACCACGAGCAAGGGATGGTCTCACATCAGGTCCTTTCCTAGCTACAAGGAGAGGCAAGAGGTTTGTTTGCTTGGGCAGGGGGACTGGAAAACATCAGGGGACCAGGCAAGGGCTGTGCAGGAGATCGATGTCCCAGCAGGGACACAGCCAAGATATCAACATGGCCCATCACGAAGCTGTTCTTCCACCTCAGTAACCTGTTGCCACCTTCTTCTGATCTCTCTCTCTGTTTGCTCCCTCCAAAATGTCTTTGCAATTCATGGGAATGTGGCACAGGCAAATAAAGCCACACTGAGCCCACACTGCAAGCAGAGACTGTGACCCTGTTCCATTCACTGCCAAACACAGGAGGGGAGGGGGCAGGTAAACTGGCCATTTGCCTGCTGAACCTGAAAAAACTCCTCCATTTGCATGAATAAATTTGGCCCAGGTATCCTTGCTCACCTCACTGTACTTTGGCTTAAGAAGGGCTGAGCAAATTTTCTCTCCCTAATATCAGCAGCCCAAAGTTACACCTCCAAAGGTTTGCCAGCCTCAATATCACAACAGCGATTTTCATGAAGTTATTTTCCAACCTGTTTTCATCTGAGACAGTACCAGCTCACAGACACCATCACCAGCCACTGGTCAGAGACATTTTGGCTTCAGGAAACCTCTACAAGCTTCAGAAGATGGTGCAGGATTTATGAAGTGCTGTTTTTTAATAACTTGGCAACTTGGGACAGATCTCCTGGGCTCTCAGTATTTCTCGATGCTGGCTGTCAATGTTTCTGCAATGGGACATTCACTCCTTTTCCCAGGCCTGGATTTATACTACAGTATCTCCATCAATTCTGATGAACCTATGCTTGACAAGGCCACGGTGGGAAAGGGGAGAACTCCATCCCTTAACTATGCACCATATTTGTTTGAGTAACCATCAGAGCTACCCCTTTATAAGCTTTTGCAGCCTTAAGATAAGGCACAGCCTGCTGAACACTTCTTACTGTTCTGCAAATTTTTCACCTTTTTTCCCCAGTCCTTCCCAAAGTGGGATACCTGAGCCACCTTCCTTGTCCTGTTTGCTAGCTGACCATGTCCATTCTCACTTTCTCCTCTCTCCACAGAGCATCCTCTTTCTCTCTCAGCCAGCCTCCTCCTCCTCTATGCATTTTAATCTATCATCTCCTTCTGCTCACCTAGGTGGGAGCAGCATCTATTCATCTGCACTTGCCAGACCAAACTACCCACTAAGTTTACGTCTAAAGGCCCCAAACAACACTGCTCCAGTCATGCCTTTTTTTGTCCAGACCCCGTCTCCCATTTATTTATTTTTGCATGCTAGTCTTGTTCTTCAACTCAGCTAGGCTCGTGTCATCCGGAAACAACTGCAGCCCCATTCTACCATCCAGAGTCACTAATGAAAACAGGGAGCATCACCAGATACCAGAGCCACCCTGTGCACACTTGTTCAATGAATCCTTTCAGTGCAAGCCCAAGTTCCAATTTCTGGCCACTTTTTCAGCCTCTAGCATTTAATATAAATGATTCTCCCACACTTATGACACCACCCTGCCAACCACATCTGGCAAACCCAGGATGCTCAGCTTCTACTGTTTGCCTTCTCTCCCAAGACCTGCTGCTCAGAATCACAGAATGGTTTGGGTTGGAAGGGACCTTAAAGACCACCTCATTCCAACCCCCCGCCATGGGCAGGGACACCTTCCACTAGACCAGGTTGCTCAGAGCTCCATCCAACCTGGCCTTGAGCACTTCCAGGTGTGAGGCACCCATGGCAAGGAGACCCTACCGAGCTGACACAATTTCCTTTGAAGCCACCTGTGTTACCTGTTCTCACACCCTCGTTTTCTTCTAGGTTTTCACAAGTTTGACTGCAGGTCCCAGTACTTTTCTGGGAGCTGCAGTCAGACTGAACTCTTCATAATTATCCCTTTCCTACTTCTCTCCCTTTTTAAAATAGGCGTATTTTTCCCTGGTACTTCATTAGGGTCACAGCCAACCTTCTTAGGGGAAAACAAATGTGATGCTGCTTCTTTGGCATCATCTGCCGAGTGCTTTCCTGTCCCCAAGTACCAAACCAACACCTCTGTGGTCCTCCAGCAACTGCTGATGTACTGCTAGAGCAATCTCTCGTTACACTTGATGTCCCCTGCTAATTGCATCTCACCATGTGCCTTGGCTTTACTGATCTTGTCTCTGCATGTGCACACTGCACTTCTGTACTTGATCTTCATGGCCTGACCTACTTTTCATTTTCCCCCAGGTTTCTTTCTCAGATCTGAGCTCTTTTCCTATTTCTCCTGCGACACTGTGGTCTGAACTGTGCCCACAAGAAGTTGTGATTGGCTCTCATTAACAGCTTTCCCCCCTGCTCAAGATCATCTTCCCTGGGCAAGATCAGACAGTACTGGAGTCCACGAACCTGAACATAGATCCAGCACTCTCTTTCTTCCCTCCTGCCCCTCAGCACCAGTTCAGTCACTTCCCAGCAACTCTAACCTTCCACATCCCTAGCCAGCTTCTACTGCAGGAGTAACCATCAGAAA